AGTTGACTTCCCTACACGCGATACATAATGTGTAGGATGTGTACGGCGACTGGCGTGCTGTGCTGAACTCGGCCAAAGTCGCTTAAGCGGCTACAGCGCCAAATAGAAGAAGAAGTATGTCGCTTTCTGATCTTTATAGAAATCCTTTTATTTTTGCTGGTTTCTTTGTTTTCATATAAATAAGTTTTTATTCTTTATATATATAAGCATATAAATATGTATGTATATACGCATTCAGTGTGAACGCTATGATATCGGGGCGAACAGAGCTAGCGTTATTGTGATTAAGTACAAGTTTATATGCCCGGCGCCGGTACCAAAGATCGTCGTTTCAACTTTCTTTAAACTACCTTTGCATGATAATCAGGACTGTTTTTCCCTATTTCAAACGTTTTCGATTATATTCTGAGTTAGACTTAATGATATAATTGAACTAAGTTTGGTAGAAATCGATAAAGTGGTTACCGAGATATAACTTTGTAATCATAAAGTGGGCGGTGCAACGCCCGATTCCTAAAGGTTTAAAGCATTCTTATTTAATGTTAAAAGATTGTTGTAACTATTAACTTGGAGTAAATTAGCATCCTCAGTTATTGAAATATCGGAGTTTTCGAATTTCTAAAATTCCCCGTTATACGGGAAGCGGGAGTACTTTTAGTCCGATTTGAATAATTTTTAACGAATTGCTTTTCCATACCAAGCTTATTAAGTGAACCGAACCACTATCCAAAAATTTATAATAATCTAATTTTCTGCTAAGTGGTTATTGTAATCATCGATTTCACTGGCCAACAAAAATGGGAAACAATATCGTAATCTAAAATGTTAAAGCAGTTTTTGATAGAACTTTTCATGCTGATTACGAATCCGTAAGTGAAAAGTTTCCATCACGTCCAGATTTCGATAAAAACGTAGTCAAATTATCAAAAAATCGCGTTTTTTGCAATATTTGAGAAGCTCTAGCAAAAAAAAGCAAAAGGTGATAGAACCTTACACTTCGGCTTAAATTAAAGCTAGAACTCTCGACTACTATCCCTGAAAATACCATTCGTGCACCTTGACTTGATGGTCACTTATAATCATTTGTTGAATAGCAAAACTGATTTTGGCGAAGTTTGAGTACCTACCGAAATTAAACAAAATGTGGTAGAATTTTCCACTTAAACTTCAATTAAAGCTTGAACTTTCGACTATAATCCACGAAAATACCATCCCTGGACCTTGACCGTAAGATCACGTATAGTCCTTTATTGAAGAGCAAAAACGGATTTTGGCACAATTTTCTTTCTTTAAATAGCACAATACTCCAGTATTTTGTTATTGTTCAATAAATGACTATTAACGATCTCTATTATATGAAATCTATTTTCTTTATCTTGAATAGGGCGTTAGAATTTTATTTGGATTTTCGTTGATTTTTAATTTGCTATCTGAAAATAATTGATATCAAATAAAACACCTCTTTGAGGTAAATACTGCGAGTGACGAAAGCTGAACTAGAAACACAAAATTGATTGTATCAATTTCGTGACGAAACTTATACGCATTTTTTAACTGCCCAGGAAACTGACGCAAAATAGTTTTATTTTTTCGAACAGTATGCAGATATAGGAAAGTTAATCCCGGGTTCCTGGCCTTTTTAAGGTCCCAAAAATCCCGGGATAATTGGCACATAATCCCGGGATTTTCGGGATTTGTAATTTGCACTGATGGCAAAAATAGAAACTCCCTTTCTTGACTAGTATTGGCTATATTTCTTTTTTTATTTAATAATTAATATTTTTTTATAGATTCCTAGCTCATTATACATATAAAAGCGCGTGATAGTAAATTTTAAACACAAATATCAATATATTGGCGAAAACATGAGCCAAATATAGTAAAATTGCGTTTTTAGGTTTTCACACTGACGTCAGTAAGTTTTTAGTGCAGAAGGACTGGTATGCATTGAAAATGTCCTTTTAAAATTGTATCCTTGCAATTTCGCAATATTTGCTTTTGAAAAAATTATATGTTATACAAGCTCGATAACATCCTTGAATTTCGTCCTTCTAACTTTATCAGCTTAAAAAATTACCTACCTATACGTTCTTGTGAATCCAAAAAATTTTAATTATTTTAAATTCTAAAGAAATTTCCTCTTGCATTTGGTACCCATATTTTTATTCTATATTGCATTGAATTTTTTAAATAATTTTTGGAATTAGTCATATCTTTGAAATTACAAGGTCCTTTAAAATAAATCCTGATGTCAGAGAGAAAAAATAAAAACGCCACTTTAAATAAAAAAGTAGGTTGCTAACCTACTTATTTATTATTAATTTTATGGTAGGAGAGCTTCTCAAACAAAATGGAAGCAATTTTTTCGATTTAGGTTGTTGAAAAGTAATGAATATCCAAATCCGGGGACTAATTCCGGGATTCCGGGATTGTGATAACGACATCCTGAAAATTAACATCAATATGCAGACAGCTACTCGCCTCGGCTCTGCGAGCGAGGCAACACACAGCAGTCTCACTCGTTCAATGGGAGCGCGAGCAAAAAAAAAAAAGTTTTCGATTATATGCTGAGATACACTTTTGTAGTCATAAAGTGGGCGGTGCCACGCCCGATTCCTAAAAGTCTATAGCAGTCTTTTTTATTGTTAAGAGATTGTAGTAACTATTAACTTGGAGTAAATTAGTGTCCGCAGTTATTAAAATATCGCAGTTTGTCGTATTTCTGAAGCTTACCGTTATTCGGGAAACGGGTGTAATTTTAGTCCGATTTGTACCGTACCAAGGTTATCAAGTGTACCGAGTTTGGTAGAAATTGATAAATCGGTTACCAACATCAGAGTAGGCAAAAACTCGGAGTTCGAGCGAGCGAGCGAGCGAACTCCTAATCAATGCCTCGCAGGCAACGAGGCGCTCGCAGCTCGTACTCATAGCAGCAATGATGGGAGGCGCGAGAAGTTTGACTTGCACGCAGTGTTGCCAAACATGGGCTTTTCCTACCAAAACTGGTAGGGTTTTTTCCATTTGGTAGGTTGGTAGGCTTGATTAGATTTTGGTAGGTTTCGTAGGACTACGAGTAATAGTTATTTGAGAATAGAAAATATGTATCTACAAACATTTTAGCAATTTTTTTCCATGAATATTTCACCGGTGCGTTCATATAACGGCGGCCGCAAACATGATTCCTCAGTTCAAACGTATACCCTTATTATTGCCAGTAAACAATACCAACATCCGTATATACTTTATAGCGTACTTGGACCAAGATTCCAGGAAAGTCTGCCAATGGGCTTGTGCTCAACCATATTCTGGGCGGAGATCTTCGCAATCGGAGTCTGTGTTCGCGAATTTTATCGTAGAAGGCAAATGAGGCCAGAATAAATATTATGTCAGATATTCAGGCAGCGTTAGAAACCTTAGAGTCTTTTAAAACGGCATCAAGGCTTGTGAACTCTTGAACCACCTGGCAGCCCACAATAGCGTACCGCTGTGGAGGGTTCAGGGACATGAAGGGTTTGAAGGCAACGAGTGGAGCCCAAATGCGTTTACATGGTTCCGAGCCTTTCTGCGATACATCTAAAGGATACACTGCAGACCTATATAGGAGCTAGCTGGAAATTCCTGCACACTGGCGGAAGTCGAAGGGAATAAGACAATCAAAGAGATTCAAAACTTTTCAGGAGGAACTCCGAAAGTTACCTTGAACTTAAAACTCTTACTGGCTACCTGACAGCACACTGCAAGTTAACGTACCGATTGAATTAAAGGGTCTTTTTGTAGAGACAGACTGTAGGTTTTGTGGGTGAAGGAAACCCCAGAGTATATTCTATGTTCCTGTCCACGAAGCATGAATAGTAGATTGATGCACCTTGGAGAAGGATTGTCTTCTCCATCTAAAATTTGGAACATGGCATCATCTAAAGTGCGGAGCCTAAGGTTGGAGCGATTACAATTAGGATTTATCACAATATATCTTCTTAGGTCGCGGGTATCTCCGACGTAATAATAATAATATAGTCACTTGACACGAATAAAGTGTTTTGACGGCGAAAAAGGATGCGTGAAAAAAATGCGAAAAAAGACGCGCAAACATGGATTCAACATCATTTCGGAAAAACTTTTTGGGGAATTCGTATACTCGTAAACATAGAAAATAAGTCTTCTTCGTCTTTCTTCGCCGTCAAAGAGGTTAACGCGTCTGTCCTTGCACTCGCCTTTGTTTAGAGTCCTTCTTCGCTGAAATTTTTTTACGCGTCTTTTTTCGCTGTCAACTTTTGAGCTCGCGTCTTATCTAATGACGATATGTATGTATGTACAGTAAAATTAATCGTTATACGCAGTTAATTTGTTTTTATTGTACCAGCTGTGTTTTAGTTTTGCTAAATATTATGTTAGCTATGTTTTTAATAAATTTGACATTGAAAAAAAAATTATTAAAACTCAAAAAAATTTTTGGTAGGTTTTGGTTGCTTATGGTAGGTAATTTTGGTAAAAAAAATGTGTCTGTGGCAACGCTGCTTGCACGGCAAACGAGCGAGCGCCGCTTTTTTGCTCGCGCTCCTATTAAACGAGCGAGGCCGCTGTGTTGCCTCGCTCGCAGTGCCGAGGCGAAAAGCTGTATACATACTCGCTCGGCTAGGTAAAACGAGTGAGCGACGAACGAGCGCTCCGAGTGTACTATACAACACATGCCTTTTTGGGTATAAAAATGTGTGAAGGTATGTCAATGATTATGCACGTAAATCTAATCGCTCGCCTCCACCATCCGCAGCCTCGGCTGAGAACGTTATTAACTCAGCCTCGTCTGACTCTATAAATCATTCGGAAGCTCAAACGATCTCAATAACAAGCAGCAAATTACCTTGCTTACAGTGTTTAAAGAAATTGCCTCTCTTAGAAGTGCGAATGCCCGTGTGTTATCATTGGTTGATGCTTTGCACGATGATAATAAGCAGCTAATGCAAAAGTTCGATGCCCTGCATGCACAAACTCTTTCACTGCAGGCTAAACTCAACAATAGAGATGCTAGCATATCGTTACTTACATCGGAAATAAAAACTCTTCGTATTGCTTGCGCTCTGCCTGCAGTTTCGCATTCTTCCTCACCTGCTGTTTCGTCACCGGTCTCCGCTGTTTCGAACACAGAAACTGCTACCACTAAACCAGCGAATAAGACGAAGCCATTTAGTTCTTCTAATGCTCCTACGTCGCTCAGTGGTGCTGCTGCATTAGCTGGCGCTGTTCTCAATAATACAGCTACGAAAACAACATCTACTACCAACTCTAATTCATCGAACAGTCTCAAAAAATGCCAGCGTAATCATTCTAAGCAAACGCAGCAAAGTCCCAAGAGTTTGAATGCTCCTCAGCTTACTGTTACTGACGCTGAGAACTCGCACCAACCTTCTGCCGATGCTGGCATCTCTGCCGACGTAGCCATTGTGCATGGGACTAATGCTGAAATGTTATCACCGAATTCGCTTACCGGTGCCATTCGCAATCAAATAGGTGTGGATATCTCTCTTTCCAATCTGCCAAATGTTGATGCCTTTGTTGATGGTGACTCTGCTGAGAC